AAAAATATTCAAATGCGAGAGGGGTTAAATTTTGGAAAGTATTTAGGATACACTATATTCAACAAACGTCCCTACAAATTCAAATTTTCAATTCCTTCTTGATAACTATAAAAACAGGCTTGCAGGATGGAAGACCAACTTGTTAGCAATGGCTGGAAGAACTACTCTAACAAAGGCTACACTAAACTATTTACTAAATCATGTTATGCAACTTATTATGTTCCCAAATCAGATAATAAAGCAATTAGAACGTTATCAAAGAAACTTTCTTTAGAGAACTACACCATAAAAATGCAAACTTCATCTTATTAATTGGGAGACAATCCAATCTCCAAAAGAAAGTGGTGGTCTCGAAATACGAATCTAACAGTTAAAAATGATGCTCTACTTGGGTCACTAGCTTGATGAATGTTCCACGCATCCTCCTCCCATTGGGCTTTAATCCTTATTTCTAAATACTCCGAGATACATGATCCTACAAACATTTCTACTACTTGGAAAGCCATAAAACATGGTTGGTCTAAATGCCAAAAAGGATTAACTTGGGATATACAAATATTAATTATATCAACTTCTGGATGGAACCCTGGTTAGGCCCTAATTTGATCTTACGTAATCTATGAAGGTCCTCTACCCCTAAATGAACACACATCCACACTAGCACAATATGTTTCCAACAATTCTGTGAACCTTTCTGTTTTACCTTTTGCGATGCCAAGTAATTTGACTAATCTACTTCGTATTTTCTATATTCCTACCATTACAAACATAACTTCTTATGATCATATTTGCTGGGGGCTCACGACTAACAAATACTTCACTGTAAAGTCGCTTTATCACAAATTGCACGACACAAACGGCAATCATTCCTTCAAATGGTTATGGAAACTTCGACTACCTCCGAAAATAAAATATTTCCTTTGGCTCATGGTCACCATCGCTTACCTACAACAAACTACTTCCATAAAATAAACATTACCACTACTTCAATTTGTTCTATATACCGGTGTCATGATGAACCTATACACCACCTATTTTTTCGCTGTCCACCGGCACAAATTGTATGGCACCACTTGGGTATAAACCACATTGAAGGAAGCCTATACAATTTTCATGAAAACACCTCACTCAAATTATCGAATTTTATCTTAAAGCATCCTATAATCCCTAGACAAGTTCACCCACACATCATAATTCCATCTCTATGGCATATATGGAAATGTAGGAATCGTAATATATTCCAAGGAACACACCACTATCCTACAATCCCGACAAGCATCCGAATACCACTATCTAATTACCAACAATAATACTTGCGACGCCCACCACACCCACACTCACGTCAAATAGAACCCATCAAATCCAAGTTATTTTAAGCTAAATACTGACGAAGCATGTAAAATCACTCAATCAAAAAATGGTCTTAGAGGAGTATTCAGAGACTCATCAGGCCACTGGATACTGTACTACAATACATAGGCACAATGGAAACGGGGAACCATACATATATGGAACTCCATGCACTCGTTGAAGGACTACAAATTGCTCTACGTTATCACATGACACCACTAGAAGTCAATATTGATTCAATTGAGGTAATTTCTCTCCTCCAATCATACAGTCTACAATACTACATAAATGCAGATAACTGTTACACCAACTGTGTAGGCCTAGTCTAATCCACACATACAAGGAGCAAAATCGGATAGCAGATAAACTATCCAAACATGGAACAACGTTGGATAATGATGCTCCAACTACTATCATATGTCAGCCGCCATCTTTTGCTTTACAAGATTTGTTAGCAAATCAGCAGGTAACGTTATACTTGCGCACATAAGCAATATTAGTGCAATTGGAGTCTCCACCTTTTTATTTTGATAGGATAGCAAGTAATTGTAATATGAACCATGCATCTTTTTGTAACATAGTACAAATGAGCAACAATGCTCATCAACCTGTTTGTAACACAGTGCCAACTAGGCACTTTGGTCCCTGTAATGTTACGTAATTTATAATATAAGTTAATTTGTTGACCCAAAAAAAAAAGTCATAACTCTAAGCTTATTCAAGCTAGCAAGTTACTTTCAGTTTTCCTAATATATTACCCTCATTATTAGAAGAAAACAATTATACAATATAAACCCATCCTATTCTGAAAAGAAAAAAACAATTCTAAAGTAATGTATTAGATCAAGTTAGAAAATACCCAAAAAAACGAAAAGAAGAAAGNAAAAGAAAAAAACAATTCTAAAGTAATGATTGATCAAGTTGAAAATCCCAAAAAAAGAAAGAAGAAGAAGCATAAGAAAAAGCAGTGGGAATGGGACCCATCTGACGTGGCATCTGCAATGCGGCAAGTGGGTCCACAAAGCTGACGCATACTAGCACCTAACCGTTGCTATCGAAGTTCTTAAAAGAAAAAGGCCAAATACATACACAGCCCATTAAACTTGGCCCAATATTTCATTTGGGCACTCTAACTAACTCTTGTTCCATTTTGGCTCTTCAACTTCATTTTTTATGTTCCACTTTAACACAAAAAATTTTCCCCCAGGTAAAAATATAGAGCGTGCAAATACTCAACTGCTACCCTCCATCCCACTGCCCTCCCCCCCCCCCCCCAAATTTTTTTTTAAAACTTTTTTTTTTGGTAATTTCAAATTATTTTGTTTTTTCCTTTTTTCTGCCCACATCCCGAGGAAAAATATTTTTTTAAATATATTTTCAGTAATAACTACGGGTTCAACTGAACCCATAACTTTTGACGCAGAGTAAAAATTTGTATGTAAAAATTCATTAAAAATGTAAAAAAAAATAGATATGAACCCATAATATTTAAAAATATAATGGGTTCTTTTGTTCCACTTTGACACAAAAACTTTTATCCCAGGCAAAAATACAGCGCGGACAAATACCCAGCTGCTACCCCCACCACCCGCATTTTTTTTTTTTTGTAATTTCAAATTATTATTTTTTCGTTTTTTCTGCCCCCTCTCGTGGAAAAAATATTTTTATATATATATTTTCAGTAATAACTACGGGTTCAACTGAACCGATAAATTTCGACGCGGAGTAAAAATTTGTATGTAAAAATTTATTAAAATTGTAAAAAATAGATATAAACCCATAACTTTAAAAATATAATGGGTTCAATATTAAAAACATTAAAATTGAATCCATATAATTTAAATTCTGGATCCGCCTCCACGTTAGGAGCATGAAAAATAGTCAGCTTTTGTGTCAAAGTGGAACAAAAGAAATGGGGTTGGAGGGCCAAAATGGAACAAGGCTGAGTTGAAGTGCCAAAATGAAAAATTGGGCCAAGTTTAATGGGTTGTGTATGTATTTGGCCATCGAAATTTGGCTGAAAAATGGTCCCTCACGCGCTTAAAGGGGGAGGCAAATCACACACTAAATCTAGTGAGCTTTTATGTTAAAGTGGAACAAAAAAAATGGAGTTGGAGGGCCAAAATGGAACAAGAGTTAGTCAGAGTGCCAAAATAAAATATTGGGCCAAGTTTAATGGGCTGCGTATGTATTTGGCCAAAGAAAAATATCTTAGCACATACTATGGACCCCTTTGGCTATAACATTTTTTTTTAATTTTTTTTTTTCGAAATCAACTTTTACCTATGAAATTTCAAATGTTACTTGAAAATAAATTTTAAATTTTTTTAAAATTTTTAAAAACTTCAAAAAGCTATTTTTTAAAATTTTCAGTTCAAATTCCTTACAAAATTCAAAAGCAACATAAAATTCATATTTATATTCAACGGAAAAGGGTCAAATATGTCCCTGTACTATCAAAAATAGTTTAAATATATCCTTCGTTATACTATCTGGTTATATCAGACCCTACCATTATACTATAAAATAAATATACCCTTATTTTTAACGGAGTGCCACGTGGCTGCATCAGACTAAATTGACCTACTCCTTTTTTAACCCGGTTCACTTACAAAAAACACCATCCGACCCGAAGTTCATTTGTTAGTGACAAAAAGAAGGACTAGATAATTTTGCATAAATTATTAAGAGGTTCGCCAGAACTGTAAATGAATTATACAGAAGCATCAAAATAGAACATACAAAGTAAATAAAACCCGATGAAGCAATAACAAAACTATGATGAGACCATGGCAATAACAAAAAATTTCAATTTCTCCAGCAATTTAATAAGCTTGGATATCAAGATTCTGCAGATTCCCAAAAACCTAATCCCAAAACCAATTAGATTAATTTCGATACCACATACCAAAATTTTGGTTTTAAAAAAAGTAACCAAAGGTCGCCGGAAAATTCTTCGACAAGATTTCAATCAAACACCAAGTTCGGAGTTTCAGTTATCTATTTCGTCTCCCTTCCGGATATGTAAAATAAAAGGAAAATAAGAAAAAGGAGAGCAAATGACTCGCTGAAAAAATATATTTTCGGTCAGATCCAGTAAAATCCAAACCCAGAACTTCCAGATCTCCGGCCTCTTTTATGTATTTCTCTAGATCCGTATATAAACGTGTATATAGTAGGTATAGAGAAAGGCGAAGAGAAGGTATGAGGTGATAAATCTGAACGCTCTTTATGGCTTACGGCGAGGTCGCCGGTGGAGATTTCGGCCATGGTCATGACAGTAAGGTGAGGAGAAGAGATGACGAAAAGAGGAGAGAGAGAAGCAATGGGGGTGGACTTTGGGTCGGGTAGTATTTTTGTAAGCGAACCGAGTTAAAAAAAAAGGAGTGGGTCAATTTAGTCTGGTATAGCTACGTGGCACTCCGTTAAAAATAAGGTCTTATAGTATAACGGTAGGGTCTGATATAATCAAATAGTATAACGAAGGACATATTTAAACTATTTTTAATAGTACAAGGATATATTTGATCATTTTCCGTATATTCAAACACAATTCTAATTTTTAAATATTATTTTTATTTAATTTTTTTCTTTCATTTTTCTCCCAAATTTTACGATTCTTGTGTCCAAACGCCAATATATTTCCACCTCTTCACTGCTCTCATAAGTCCAATCACTTCACCGTTGAATCACAAAATCTCTCTCTCTCTCTCTCTCTCTCTCTCTCCATTTTCTTCATGGCTATCGCCAATGCTTTCTTCACTTCACTTCGATCGGCGTTCTCCGATGCCGATAATGGCGTCAACTCTTCTCCGTCCGCCGTTTTTCACGCATTTTCTAGTTCCGGTGTGACCACTTCTCGCCAAAGAAAGTAAGCTTCTTTACTTAAACCTGTCGCCTTATTACCCTTGTTTACTAATTACTGACATATGATCTCGTATTATGTTTTGAGCTATATGTTCAAATTTTATTTAGCTGAAAAACAAGTTTTAGTAGTAAATTAAACCTATTTATTGACTCTCTATGCTATTTAATTGAGAAAGTACTGAAATTGCCGGTTGATTTGATTTCTGCGGAATCTTCACTGTTTAGTTTTTAGGTATGTAGAGTAGCACGTGAATGATCTTGTTGTTTTCTATTTAATTAGTGAAACCATAAATATATATATCTAAAAGATTTAAGTTATATGCATCGACAGTTTACACAATCAGTGCTCTTTTACCTGTGATAGCAGGTTTTTTATCAGGTTACCAATTAATGTTATTATAGAAATTTACTTGCAGTTACCTTATATATGACTTGATTGTGAAAATAATTTTGTACACTGTCGTTGCATAAAACTTAAACTCAAATCTAAATATGGTGATCTGACAAGTTTGAGTTGCTTTGCAGGTATACTGTTTATTGTACTCTAGATAGAGTTGATTCAATGAGTTTGTCACCGGCATTAGTGAGTTTTGATTATATCTCTTTTATAGTAGCTAGTTTACCGTGGATTTTATGATGTTTTGGAGTGATTGCTTGAGTGGCTCAATCTCAGTTATAAATAAGTATGTCAATCCATTTTTGTGCAAAATTTCCCATTTGAATAAGGTTTTGTGCATTTTTGTCACTCAGATTTAATTTCACTAATTCTGTTTTTGAACTTGACTTCTTGGTTTTCTGGTTATCTTAGACTGTTATTGAAATAGCTGAAGTGCTTCCTGTCTCATGGATTTTCTGGAATTTATCCCAGTTCCCAAGGAGCTAATGAATTTAGATATTTTAGTGCTTCACTTTATTGCATGTTGTTGAGGCTTTTAAAAAATAAATCAAATAAAACATTTCCAAATCTTCTCTGCATATCATAAATCAAATTTCGAGTTTTGAGATACTTGTGAAAATGAAAACAAAAACATGGTCAATGCATTTCCAGAATGATGATGCTTATTCAGAGGAAAAGGGGAAGTTGCATTGTTAGATGGTAGTTGTCTGACATTTCTTGCATTTGATAAAATGCACTGCCATTCGAAGTTCGAACTTTGCAGCTGAAGATAAGTAACAGCAATTTAACAGGGAAAGGTGGGTGGAAAAAATCAAATGGTCACTTAAATATTATAATAGCTGATGGAGGATAGAAGAAGTGTAGGAACAAAATCAAGTTGTTCTTCTATAAAAGATACACAAACAAATTAAGATGACCGTGGCTTTGAGTTTTTCGTTTGTGCACCAGGCTACCAGCACCATAATTTAGTGATTTCCTGTAAACTTGCAGCAAGTTTTGGTGACATCACCATTTGTTGAAAAAATTTCATATTATGGTGTGAAATCATTGAAACATCATTTTTCTTATTGGATAAATTCCTATAAAAATTTAGCAACAACACTATATGCTATATTGTTTAACTGAATACGTATAATGAGGAATGGAAAAAAATGCAGAGATTTGCAGAATCTCCTTTTCTCCAATCATTAGCATTTTTTTTGTACATTTCTGTCATTTTGTCAGATCATGATGGTGATTATATATTTTCCTCTCAGAAAGCCGAGCAGGAGTCTGGTTATGTTCCTTTGCCAATTGTTCATCTAATTCAGGATCCTGAATGCGATGCAACCACTGTGGAAATTAGCTTCGGTGATCGGCTAGGTCTTCTCATTGACACGGTGAATTCTTTGAACCACCATTCCCAGCCTGTGCACATTTGTGCATGCCAATGTCCACATGCATGTTTCTCTTTTTGCTTCCATATAAACGGAATTTTGTGGAAAATTTTCTCCATCAAATACAAAATCTTGAAAGAGAGGAGAGATTACAAACCACAGAAGCTGGTATTCTTTGTCATACCATTTCTGCTTGGAGATACGTTGTATGTCGGATACCATATCCAACCTGTTAAAGATCCTCTGAGAGATGCTCAAAGATATTTAATTTAACATTTCTGTTCAGATAGTTTCCCCCACTGATAAGCATTTGAAAAAAAAAGGAAACTGTTTAATGTTTCCTTTTCCAAGAGATCTGAGGTTTTAGTCACTCTCTCCTTTTGGTTTCCGGTTTGTGTATTTGTTTACTGGCCACATACTGTTGTTATCAGATAAACAAGTTTATTGCGATGGGTGATACATGCCTTATGCATTTTATACACAGAGGAAAGATTTGGCGGTTAACTATTTATATGATACTCATCCGCTTGCCTTTCCTATTGGTAACCCTATACGTTATTTTCGTGGACTATCTCCTTTTCCAGGGTCTAGTGCTTTTTGTTTATTCTGTGTTGACTTCTCATCAAGTATACATAGCCAACTAGTTGGTCTTGTATGTCGTGCAGATGCAGGCACTCAAAGACTTAGGCTTGGATGTTGTGAAAGGAATTGTTACCACCGAGGATTCAGTGAAAAAGACAAAGTTTCTTATTACACGATTGTAAGTGTGTAGATTAACTATTATACTTCATTTTAATATGTGCATTGGGATGCTAATACATGGAATAGGATTTTCTGAATTTTTGTAGTAGTTTATGATTTATATACTTTCATTCATATTACTTATAAGAAAAGATAACTGCTAATCACTTTGGCTAGTTGTTCTTTTCTTCACAAGTCCACAATTTTTGAGCATTAATCAGTATGATCTGCACTGAATGTTATGTGACTAAACACATTTTGCATATGATTCTTTTTTATCAGAAATATATGGGAATTGTTGAAGATAATGCAAGTCAAATTAACTGAAATAGAGCTATGATGTTGGATTATATGTTGCATATTTTCAAGGTCGCATAATTGAAACCCTAATGGTAATTGATGTACCTGTTTAATGATTCACAGTAGCACATATGTGTCGTTATGAAATGATATAGAAATGGAGGATGTCTAATAGCATGCTTTGAAGTTTAAGAGAGGATAACTACTTGTTATTTTACTCCTAATGTATTATTCTTCATGTCTATAGAAATACCTCAGGTGTTACTCCATAACTGCCCTAAATCTCTAGTTAATATATCCCTACATGCATGTCTTTTGGCATATGCCATTATCCTTTTATACAAATGCCTTCTGTTTTTGCTCTCCAGGGATACCGGGCGCAAAGTTGAAGATCCGGATTTATTGGAGAGGATTCGTTTGACCATAATCAACAACCTTATCAAGTATCATCCAGTATGTTTCCTGAATTTTCCATATACAATCTCTAAAAACATCTAGAACCTATAAACGCCATTCTGATTTATCTATCCTTTGATAGAATAATAATTCATGTTTTCATATTCCTTAACTTGCTACTGCAACCCCTTAAAGTAGAATGTTTTATGTTTATCAGGAGTCTAGCGAGCAGCTTGCTATGGGTGAGGCTTTTGGGATAAAAGCACCAGAAAAGAAGGTGAAACATTCAGATAAATTAGCTGCTTCCTCTATTTATCCCAGTGCCTCTCGTCAGAACAACAATTATGCCTCAACCCAACCTAATTAGGGCCGGCTATATGAAACCTCACTGTCCATTTCACTCTGTTTGAACCTGTTTGTACATCAACTTGCTTACAAAATTTCAAGTACTTTACAGCTATTGTTTGACATAGATATTTATGATATTATCTATTGTTTGTCAATGAACTGAATTTTCAAGTTTTGGGTGGGAGCGTTACCTCGTTTTTTGTTCCAATTTACCTTTTTTTTTCTAAATCTTATTAGTATTATTATTATTATTTTATTTTTTTAAATTGTTATTATTAATATTGTTAGTACTGTTTTCTTCTTTGGTGGTGGCTGGAGCCATCTAAATAAACAATTTTTTCACTTTCCGTTGCCCCTTCAAATGCATGTTAACTGCTTTTTGGCTCTATGGTTTGGATGAGTGAAGGACACTACATCATTCCCATTATCGTCTAGAGTTCATGATAACTGTTGTTTCCATTTTGAAGTCAAATAACTATTTTTGCACTTGAAAACGTTGTGCATAGCAATAAGCTTTGGTCTGTTGCCAAATTTCAATGTGTTAACAGAAGTAACTTTTTTATAAGGTCTGTGTTTAAATTGAAGTATACATAGCGAGAAATGGATGGAAAAGCAATGGTAATGTGAAAGTTGTGAAAATAATTTTGTGGTGCCTTGGAAACACTTTAGGTTTTTCTTATCCGTCTGTGGGTTTTAGTCCTGGTGCTATTAGCTGACTTCCCATTAGAAATCTGGTATATTTTTTTCAAAATGGTAAGAATCCCATAGAATCGAATATGCTCAACATTTGGATATATGTCATGCATTCTACTTATAAATCATAGAAGGTGGGTTCTGATGGAAACTCAAGGGGCAACCTAGCTTGGAGTAAAGCTCCGGTATCATGAGTTGAGCTTAAAACATTTTTCTTATTGTTCTTTCTTGGGGTGTCCTGTACCAATAGTTGCCATTTCACTGTGAGTTTTTTTAAGCTGCTTGCATGTTCTTTGACGGAAAGCTATGACTAAATAGTGCACTCTACCCTCCATAGGATTTGCTTTATTGTCCTTGTGATCTCTTTATCATTGTCAATACTTAAATAGCAGGCATATGTTATAACTCCTCTTCGGTCGGTGAATGCTTGCTGCTCCCTCACCCATGCCTCTTATTCACTAGGTGTAGAAACGCTTAAAAGACTATGATTCAATACCGCTGCACTTTGTTGCCCTTTTTGTCATCTCTACTTGTGAAATAATGGTAATTGGTAATTTCTCCTCAACCTTTTCAAGTGTGCCTACTAAAACTTGTACTTTTGCTTTGATGGCAGCCTGATGTTGATATCGCCACTCATATACATGTCAAGGATGATGGACCTAAAAGGAGGTAGCATTTTATGGCAATTGTTTTTATATTGTTTATATTTATCACTTCTCAGTTAGTTAAATGTTGATGAGCATCAGTTGAAAATGGTGATGGGACACATACTAGCTTGCCATGTTCTTGTGGTTGTTTCAGTATACTGCATGTTGAAACAGCTGATCGATCTGGTTTGCTGGTGGAAGTTGTCAAAATTGTGGCTGACATTAACATTGATGTTGAATCAGCAGAGATTGATACAGAAGTAAGCTTCTTTCATTCTCCATATGCTCGTAGAAGAGTATCTACATTCGCATATCCAAAAAAGAAGTGTATTATACATTCTTCCATGTTGTTTGCCTTCTCTTCAATTCGCCCTCAACTTTCACTTTTGTAAATGTATAGGGTCTAGTTGCGAAGGACAAGTTCTATGTCAGTTACAGAGGGGCAGCGTTAACTAGTTCTTTGTCTCAGGTAACTTACTGTATACAGTTTTCAAGTGGTTCGGGCAATCATAGCCGTGTTTCTCGGTTGAGGTATCTTTTCATGGTTAATCAATACTTAGACCTTCGTATAGAGCATTGTAACTTAAAATTAAATATCATCCATCTCCCTTCATATTTTCATGTTGCTAACATGTCTTGCTGAATATGTCAAGATAAGTGGTCAATAATGTAAACTATGGGGAAACACTACAGTGAATTGATGTAGCTTAGAAAGATGCAATTAGAGTTGGACTAGGATCGCAGTAAGTAAAACCTGGAGATTATACTGAGCAGTTAAAGGCAACCTTCTCATTGACTGTACTAACAATTTCTCTGATTCTCTTCCTTATCATAGTCTTGTCCTTTTTTCGCTATCTCAAGTCCAACGTTGAACCTGCAGGTGCTTGTAAACTGCCTGCGCTACTTCCTTAGGAGGCCTGAGACAGATGAAGAAAGTTACTAGCTAGTGAGCATACTCGTATGTACACTATATAATATAACCATGTGTGCTTGTTAATGCAAGGGCTTGAGGCATCTCCATTGTCATGTAAAATTATGTCCGTTTTCTGATTAATTCGTAATATATGTGATCTGTGATTCTCCCTTCTCATCATGAATAAACGGAATAAACTGATAGGACTATCATGTAGAGTGCACACAATATCTTACAATTGTCCTTCTATTGGATGTAAAAAGCACTATAGCAGAATCAGAAGTTGCTTATTAGTTGGCAATATCAGAGGGAATAGAGAAAAGCAAAGTGATTTCTTCCCATGAGTTATTCGGTACCTGTCGTAGTGGGAGGAAGCAAGGACCTGAAGCTGGTCGGACATCACTATTATTAAAAATATTATTAAGAATAAGTGAGGGATGGCCCCAGTCCTCAGCGGGCAGACTTGGTCTATGTTGTTAGAATGGTGTTTCTTCCTTTACTTTTTTTATTGCTGTTGGTGAGGATGAACTATGAAGGCTCGAGTGTCTTAAATAACAAATTAGAAAGGGCAATTTGATCAGTTTCAGTAAAGGTTAAGGCCTACGATTATAAGCCCCTTTCGCCAGATAAAATGGTAAAAATAGCACGGTCTAACCAGTTTTCGGGCTGGTCATTCAAAAATAGCTAGTGTTTACCAAGTCAATGAAAAATAGCCACTATTTTGCTGCAACAGAGACCGGTCCAGCATAATATATTGGAGATCGGTGCACCTGTATATGAACTTCCAGCATATTATGCTGGAGCTCCAACACACGGAAAGTTCCAGCATAATATACTGGAGATTCGAGCACTTTTGTATGAAGTTCCAGCATATTATACTGGACCGGTATATTTTGCTGACACTCCAGTATATTATGCTGGAGTTCTAGTGTACTTATGCTAGAACTCCATCATATTGTGCTGGAGTTCCAGCATACTTATCCTGGAACTCCAGTATAATATGCTGGAGTTCAAGTATACTTATGCTGGAACTCCAACATAATATACTGGCGTATTTTCCGGATTTTGAACAGTGTTTTCGCTTATATTTATCTTTACATGAAAAGTGGCTAAATTTCGATTATTTTTAAAATTGGGTTATTTTTGAACGATCACTTAGAAATATGGATATTTTTGAATTTCTCCCTATAAAATGACATTGGCGCGCGCGGTTGTTATCAATGCTGGAGTACTTGTTCCTAAGCCGCTTAGTAGATCGGGATTAGATCGAAACTTTGTCGTGACGTCTAGTCTCACTAGCCTTGTGCACGAGCGGTTGTGTCATTAAGGGTCTGTGTTTGGCAGCAATTTTAGGTTGACCTTTGGTTAATTAACTTGGATTGGTTGTATAAATAATAATTGATTTTATCCATTGCGTACAGTTTAGGAAAGGCTAAAACTTACCTGTACCGGTACCTATACCAAGCAAATAAATGTAACACATATGTCTTGAAGATATACCTTTTAACACTTAACCACAAGACATATACCTTTTAACACTTAACCATGGTTAAGTGATATGTATTTTTACTTTGATCTGTTGGGACATGATTTTGTTTCCTATTTAATCTCCACTTTCATAGCGCTGACCCTTTTCGGTTGTAGGAATTGCAATGTAGAAATCGTAATGTGCTGATTTCATTTACTCCGGTATTTGGTTTGTGGTGTTAATAATTGGTATATATTGGTGTTCACTGTGAGTTACATTATTTAAAATTAACTCCATGCTTAAATATCTATCATTTCTAATTTTAAAGATAGTGTATAATATAATTTATAATATTTATGAATATTTTTTTTAATTCTCCTTGATAAAGAATAATATTAAGAAAACTCTTAATCTGAAAGGGCGTGTTTTGGATTACATTACAAATGAATAAGTAAACATCCACATAATAGAATGTTTATTTTGAACATTTTCTCATAAATTTAAAATCCAAATTGCAAATATTAATAGAATTTAAAGAGATAACGAGACGATTAACTTGATAAATAATAGCATAAATGGACGTTTTTTCATTTGCTAGTTTGTATGCGTGTATGGTTATTTAACACCAAATTCGATGTAAATGGTACAAGAATTAATGCGCAACAATCGCATGCATCATTAATATTGAGATAAAAAAAATAACTAGCAAGCCAATTATATTAATAGAGAATTAAACACCAAAACTACTTTCACTAGTATGGGTGATCAATCAATCCCTTAGAGATCCAAAGGAACTAACTTTGACCAAAATAAAAAATTAACAAAGTAATGCTAGATTTATCAATAAGCAGATTAGGAAAGAGAGAATACAGAAGCGGCTGCAAAAATGATATATTGACTCGTGTCAGTATTCTCATTAAAGGACACATCCCACAACCAGGGGCAGAGCTAGAACTTCGGATACGGGTTCGGTCGAACTCAGTAGCTTTGGTCCAAACTTATATTTGCCTTTAAAAATTCATTAAATATGTACAAATTATTAATTTGGAACCAAATAACTTAGAAGGAATAGAATTCCAAACCCATTAGCTTCAAATCTTGGCTCCGCCTCTGCGGCCACGACTGAAAAGGTACAAAAGTCTTGCTACTTGAAGTTCAGCTTGTAAAAGCATGTGTCTTTCAACATGGATCGAGTCCTAGCTCTTGTCTATTATGATTCATGTCTCTGATAAGATGTCAAGCACCTCCTTTGCACAATAATCAAACAGAAAAAAGCATTTACTTCGAATCCTGCATAATGAATTTAGCAATTCTCTGCCATAGAATCTAACTCTAGTCCAAAATCACCAGAAAACCCAAGTCCCACTTGTCATGGCGGAATCTAAATAGGAACTGTAAAGTTATATTGTTTCTAAATAAGGAAAAACGACATTCTTTATGGGACTGACTAAAAGGGAAATAATGCCACATAAATTGGGACGGAGCAAGTATTTATTGAAATATTTTAGGGGCCTTTTCCATATATATATATATGTTAGTGACTAAGCCAAAGCTCAGTCTGCCATTTTAACCACCCAATGTATCGATCAGTGGCTATCTTTGAGCTCTTCTTAATCCTTTATCGCAGCACCAATTTGCGATAAACATGGTGGTACTCTACCTGCTTCATTGGAGGGCAAAAGGTCTTCTACCTTGCGGAAAATGAAGCTTGCATTTGGAAGATTAAGCCCCATATTGCATTCCTCATCATTACATTGTGTCTGCTTCAACGTTCTCTTGTAACTGGTAGTGGCAAATGTTGGGTGACACCTAGCAATTGATGCCTGCAAGAATTACAGAAAAGTCACACTTATTGAAAATTTGTAATTGCTCTCCATTTAACTAAGGGAGCTAATTTGTTTGCAAACTATTTCAATTAAGCATGCTCATTGCTCGCTAATATGAAACTAAGATATTCAACAATGTAGAGCTTTAGTTCCATAAAGTTTTCTAGCATGTGCACTTCAAATGAGAGGCGTCAGAAAGAGAGATTGTGCTTTGTGACTGAATTTTGCTGGCATCAGTGCTTTGTATGAACTCCTACAAGTTGCATTCTGGCTTAACCACCTTCAGTTTCACGATTATAGTTTTCGAAAGAAATGCTCTTTTCTGCTCAAAGTCTAACTCATAATTTCTGTCGCTTTTCTAGAGATTTTTTTATAGGTTGAAATTAGGTTCCAAGAGAGATGAAGGGATGCATGCTGTGACAATAATGATGGAATGTAAATCATTAATACTTAAAACAACTAAATTCCTAGTTTTTGAAAGAGGTATTGATTATGTGAAAGCTTCCAGTTGACCTAGCATCGGAAATTCAATACATATACTTGTATGTTTCTTTCCTTTATACTCTCCTACAGAAACAAACATTATCAACCACTTGAAAGGGAAAGTAGACAGGAATAAGCATTATAGAAGAACTAACCACGTGATCTTTCCCCAATTCAAGAAGCCAAAATCTCCAATCTTTCAGTTCTTTACCATCAGCTTTGACAACTATGTTTTCCCAGTTTTTGTGATGAAATTCAACAGTGTCCAATTTGTAACCCACGCCTTCACCAATGGCTTTGACAAATGCTTCCTTCACACTCCAATATCTGCATAAGTTGTCAGATCTATCAGCATAATCTTTCTACCATTTAGCATGAACTTTGTTTCTCGGTGTGACAACACCTGTCATTCGGTGTCACCAAAAAAAAGAAAAGAATATGTTTCCAAATATCTTATTGTCTACTCCCTTTACATCAAATACATACTCTACTAGTTTGTTAAGTTGGTCAAGAAGTATGAATCGTTTTCTGACAAGTGATGCGATGGAGTACTCTTTGATGCATGTCGATGCTGGAAGTGTAAAAGTGGGACCCGTCAAGAAAGTGGATAATGTGATATGCCCATTTAAAGAAAGTAGACATAATTTGGCAAGGCACATTCGATTTGAAACTACTCTGTTGAAACTATGAGGCAGCAACTTACTCAAGTAGAACAAATTGTGACACTATCACAGTAAACGAAAGGTTGATGGTGAAGGAAATTATTGCTAGTAGCTAGGCCAAATCTCAGTATGACACCTGCTTTTCTCGTAAAACATAATTTACAATAAAATAAGCAGGGGGCGAGTTGGTCACAGCAGAGATATTATTGCATTATGCCACCTATTGTAAAATGGTAGAAACCAACTTGTCACATTCTCATAAGTAAAATGATTGTTGAGCAGTTTGGATGACCTGTATATATGGTCGTTCCCAGCAGTACAAAGGTTGATATTCTTTCCCTAAGGAAGATGGATGTTCATTTAACCTAATCATTAGCCATCTGAGCTCAACTTGATCAGAAGGAACTTTTTTCAACTAGAGACTAAGTTCTTGGATAAAAGAGCAGATTTTTTAGAAAAGTTCTCTTTATGTACCTTTTCGATAATATTTTAACATAAAGTATCTATATATTCTGTAACTTTTTGAAAAATAAATGTCCCGCATAGTCAACTAAGGCTTATCCAAAATGAGACACTAAACTTTAATGAGTAATGGAAGAGAAAACAAGTGCATGGGTTCCTACATATTTCTTTTGCTTGGAGATACCTTCGATATTTTTAACGCACCAAACACTATGTGATCTCTGACTCGACCCTGAAGAAAGCTTTGAAATGCACATAATTCTAGGAGTTTGAGGTTAAGCAAGAATAATATATTTTCAGTAATGGCAGTTGTAAGTAAGGTCTATAAATAGATAGGTACCTATAAAACTCACTTAAAATCTGACGAGAAGAGCCAGCATTGTATATGTTAAACCATTCCAGTCTGGAAAAGTATGATGAGAAGCTCTGAATGAAGTCTTCTACTGATTCTTTCTCAGGAATGGTTTGAGCAACAACATCCAATCCCACAAGGCATATTGGTTCAGAAGCAATAGCCACAAAATCACCATGATGTGATGCATTGAAGTTAAAATTTGGCAACTCCAAGTTCGGTTTGTCACATTCCTAGAAGAAGGTAGGATTAACAATATTGAAAATGCGAAGATATTACTGCAAGCAACAGTATAGCAGGTAGCTTGAAGAATATCCTTGAACCAAAAGCAAGTGGATTTTATTCAGTATTGTACTCGAACACATGCTAACAATACCAGGTATGGTTTCCCCTCAGCAGTACGCCTGATGACAATCTCATTATATGGAATCCCCAAGACTTGATGTACCACTGCATACTGCAACAATCTGCTCACAAGAGCCCGTTTTCGATCTTCTATTTTAAAAAACCTAATCAGTGAATGACACAGCCACTCAATTTTCTTACAAAGGCAATCCTGATAACCAAATTCCTCAATAAGCTTTTCAGACACCCATATAGAATTAAGGCAGTATAACAAAGTGCACATTCAAATTTTTTGCTTTGATACACATGTTTTAGCAATCAAAGAATTACAAAATAAACTTGAGGATGAAAACTTTACTTGAAATACAAAGTGCATATTCACAACATAGAATTAAGGCAAGTATAATAAAGTAAGAATTTGCTTTCACAGATAGTTTAATGCAACCAAGAACAAAAAGATACAGAATAAACTTAAAGATGAAAACTTTATATAGTACATACATATAAATAGTAAGCAGAGAGGAGGAAGTTGCAAGAAACCTGGTAATGGAGGAGTGCTCATGCTGGGGAAGAAAAGACATAGCAAAGGAGAAGTAATGGGGAGAAGGGTTCCATTCAGAAATGTCAACTGCCCATCTCTGCACTCCCTTCTCCAATTCCATTACCGGACTTTTCAGAGAGAAGAAACTGTTGTCTACAATTGTAACTTGTTTCTTCTCTTCCTAAAAATTTTTCCCGGCGGCTCATTGTCAGTAACCAATCCATAATTAATTACACAAATAACCATTTTAGGGGGGTGGGGGTGCCGGGAGCAAGTGCAAAGATAGCCCATACTTATTTAGTCCTGAAATTTTAAACTAAATTTTTTAATTTCTGGACAATTCTTGAAATTTTTGTCCCAACTGAAAAACTGAAATTCCGCACGCACTGACTAATAGCAGCCCCTTAAAATGACTACCTGGTATCATTTTAATATTTTTAGGGCTCCTAGTTAGGAATTAATTGTCTTGTAAATTTGAATTAAATTTTTTTAGGGAAAACTGAAATTAAGGACATATTGCTAATTTTTAAATAGTAGCCCTCTAAAATGGCTACCTAGTGTCATTTCTACACTTAATTAGGCTTTGTTTATGGGACATCATCATATAGATTTGCAGAGGATTATCAACTTTAACTTCCTATACTACATATCAAACTTTATTACCCTCCCTAATCAAATTTTAACTTAATTACATGGCCATATACAATTTACCAATTATATACAATTAGTAGTAATGAGTATCCTTTTATATTAGAAATTGAATAGGAAAATATTTATTTCTCATCCCTGCTCTCTCTTTCTCTCTCTCTCCATCTCTCTCTCTCTTTCTCTCTCCATCTCCCTCTCTCTGTTTTTCTCTCTTTTTCTCTCCTTATATATTCTTTTCCCAATTTTCTTCCTCCGTTTTTCTCTGCTTTTTATCCCTTTTCTTCCAGGGAATTCATCAATGAATTTCAATTGTAAGTTTTAACTTAGCAGATTCCTTTCACTTTGCACAATTGGTGTTCGAATAGAAATTGTCAATCAATAATTTTTGAAGGTGTTTGATTCTCCACCATTATTAGTCATTAAAAAGCTTCAAAGCTTTGAATACGAATTTGGGTTTTTAAAAACTACTATTTGTTTAGATTGAGTGTTGTTGCAAACAATTGAAAATCTTTTTTTGGAGTTTATATATCAGTTTTGAAGGTGTTTGGAGAAGATTAGACTTGATTTTGGCTGAGTTTCAAATTGAAACTCGAAGAAGAAGAAGAACACGTGACATACAAATTACTTACGAAATAGTATTAAAGTTGTATTCTGTTGTAGTTATATTTTTTTTTATTTGCATGTTGTATGGAAGTTAAAAATAGTTGTATAACGTATGAATCATTGTATAAAATTTATATTGAAGTTACAAATACTATCTTTTTACATAAAGTTGTTGATACGTATCAAAATTGTATTAAGAGATGAAGTTTTGAATGAAAATTCAGAGAGGAAGAAGAACCCCCACATACAAAATATATACAAAACACATACAAAAGACATATTGTATAATAATTGTATGAAAATTGTATTTAAGTTGTATGATGTAATAGTTGTATTTAAATGGGTAAAAAGGATATATAAAAGTTGTAGATAAGTTGTATACTATATAATTAGTTGTATACCATTATTTTTAGTTTATATGTTGTAGTAGATGTATTAAATTTGTAAGAAATTCTATTTTTTAATTTGTATGGGGAGAGAGTCGGCATAAAATAGGGAGAAAGGAGAGAAGAGAAAAAAGAAAAATGGTATAACTCTTCATACAATGCTGCAGTGGAGCTTAAATTTTTGACTGTATAAGCAATATGAGAAACTCCACCGATTATCCTCCTCGACCTCACTTTCTTAATTGCATTTCCTTTCGAATAGAAGCTTTCGGAGACACATATAGCGTCGCACACCGGGCATTGCCAATGGAGGTGGTCGCCAATTAAAAAAATCATAATTCAATATTATATCCACAGTAAGTGAAAATTAGAAAGCCATCACACTGAAAGCCACACCATCTAGATCAAGATAATCGGGATTGTATGTACGGACTTTTAGGGGTCGTTTGGTAGGGTGTACAAGAATAGTGAGTAATAAGGTGTATTAGTAATGCATGTATTAGTAATGTAAGGGTTAGTAATGCAAGCATTAGTTATGCAAATATTATTTCTTATCTACTGTTTGGTGTGGTGTATTAAAATTATAATGCATTGCACAATTTTTAAGAAAAACAGTTGTGTACAAAAATGCCCTCCATATTCTCTAGCTTCAAGGAACTTTAAGGACAATTTTGTCTTTAACCATACTAATGCATGCATTAATAGCCTTGGTATTACTAATGCCATGATTTTTTATGCATTACTTATACATAAGATAGTACCAAGTATGATGTATAACTAATACAAGTATTAGTCATACACATGTTGAAAAAATGTAACAAACAAGGTATTAGTAATGCATAGAGCTAATGCTTGCATTATTTTTTCTAATACCTCCTACCAAACGACCCTTAAATAGAATTGATGTGCAGGAATTAAAAAAAGCAATTCAAGTTGCGGATAATATTGCACTTTGGACGTACATTAATTAATAAGAAAAAAAAAGGAAGAAAAAATGACAAATTTTCCTTTGAGTATAGAAAGAGAATAGGAAAAGAGGAGAGGAGGAAATAAAAATAAAAAGAGTATAATTGAATTTCCTAATTTAAGGCACTAATAATGGATTGCATATAATTTGTAAGTAATCCTTATTTACGGCTAATATGCAAAACTAAGACAATTTTGATAAATAAGTTTCAAATATTGTATGGGAAGAAGAAAAAAACTTCTTTTTTATTATATTAAAAAGAAGGGAAAGGTTGCAAATTTGTCTTTCATACTATTTGAAATTGCTCAATTTTGTTCTCCTTTTAAACTTTTGATCGATTCATACTTTCCAGTTTGTAAATCAGATTTTTCAAAACAAATTTGAGAATTCCAAACTTCGCTAGCGTTTGACCATAGATTCCCAAATTTGTTTTGAAATATCTGTTGGGTGAAGGTTGGTTTGAAGATAAAAATGTATTAGGACATAAGTTTTCAGAACATATTGCACTTTTTTTTTTGAAAAAATATGAAACATGATTTATACCCACAAGTTCTAAAAACTATCACAAATACCCAACAATACTGTTATCAATAACATTCATTATATTATCGCAAGCAATAGTCCTGAACATAAATAAATTTGGTACAAAATAATTATTTTTATAATGAACTACGTAATACACTATAAGATGACTGAGAAGACGAAGCAGCATTGTAACAAAATAATAAATGGTGGGCTCTTTTATAAAATACAAAGTTTTGGGAAATTTTTTAAAAAATATAATAGTGATATTTTGGGCCAAAAACCAGCTCTTGAGCTGATTTGGTATTTGGGTTTTGGGTTTTGGATTTTAGGAATTTGCCAAAATATAGATAAAATCTATGGCCAAACGTGTATTTGCAAAAAAATCCAAATATATTTTGGCAAAATCTATGGCCAAACAGGTCCTTGATAAGTTGAGGGAGACCAACTTATGGCTTTTAGTTTATTTTTAACTTATAAGCACTTTAATTTTACCAAACGCGTAGATAAACCGAAAATTGACTTATAAGCACTTTTAATTTTACCAAACGCGTATATAAATCGAAAAATGTATAATCTTAGCCAAACACCCTGTATAATACATCTTATTCACCATTAATAGTATTTTATAACTCAATGGTCATTCGTTTCTAGTGAATTGAAAAGTTCTTCCATTCTACTGATAGTTGTCGAAAATCGAAGTGGAATCATAAAGAGTGAAGGAAGAACCAAAATATTAGCAAAAAAAGGAAGAACCAAATAGTGAAGGCCAAAGTACCTTCAAATAGAGGCCAGCAAGGGAAGGCACGGCACTCAAGAATTAAAGCAAATTCCATTAAATAATCTTTCATATAGTGCCTTTCAAAAAGGCTTTATACATATAGCGCCTTTTAAAAGGGCGCTATACTTAACTGGGCAAACGACCGTTAAGGTATAGCGCCCTTTAAAAGGGCGTTATATATAAAATGGTCACCAAATTTTTTTCTCAAATATTTTGGTTCTTTCAGTTCAAAAGAACCACATTTTGGTTCCGAATGTCTTGCGAACGAGTTCTAAAATATATATATATATATATATATATATATNAAAAGAGGAGAGAGAGAAGCAATGGGGGTGGACTTTGGATCGGGTAGTATTTTTGTAAGTGAACCGAGTTAAAAAAAAAAAGGAGTGGGTCAATTTAGTCTGGTACAGCCACGTGGCACTCCGTTAAAAATAAGGGTATATTTATTTTATAGTATAACGGTAGGGTCTGATATAACCAAATAGTATAACGAAGGATATATTTAAACTATTTTCAATAGTACAAGGATATATTTGACCCTTTTCCGTTGAATTTATTTTTCTTTTCCTATCCGTTACCTTAGTTATGATTTTTTTTTTTTTTTTGGTTTCCCACCTGTGTTCCGTACCTGCATTGGAGTCCGATTATATTCGGATTCGCGCCGAGTAGGGCGCCATTCCGGGGGTAGCTCTTCCTACTAAGGATTTTTACATATCCAGGACTCGAACTTGAGACCTCTGGTTAAGGGAGGAGCAGCCTCATCCACTGCACCACATCATTGGTGGTGAATTTCTTTTTTATAACTATTTGGTACAGGAAATTTACATTACGTAAAATTCTATTAAAAGGGAAAGCACACTTTGCCGGGATTAAATCGCGAAATTCTGGGTAAAGAGTAAACTTGTGAATAAAAATAATGAGATCACATTCAACTTACGATACTTCTTGATGCCTAAAAGTTTCCATCATGTGACTATGTTTAATTAATTTTTCACTTCTTCTTTTTTTTAGCTTGCTTTATTTTTTTAGAAAACGGGTATGTGTAACAACATTATCATAGTTTTTAATTATATAGGAAGAAGAATTAACACAAATAGTCGTCCACCTAAATTAAGTTAAAAATAATTATGAATGTATAATATTTGTATAACTGTGTATACGAACTAGAAAAAGCAACATTGAATTTGGCCGGCTATTTGTGTAATAACACGCTTAGAATTGTGTTGAAACTATTTACTACGCTCTTTGTTTGCCTGGGCCATGGCAAATGCAAGGAGAAAATCTCACTTTATACCCATTAA